ACCACAACTCTCTGGGCCCGGCCGTCCAGCCAGTTTTTGACCCAGCGCAGAGTCCACCTGTCTAAGCCGTGAGCCGCCAGCTTCTCCAGGAGAATGCTGTGGGAGACGGTGTCAAAGGCCTTAGTGAAGTCCAGATAGACGACATCCATTTTTGGTGGGTCCTGTTTGATCCAACAAACATTTTGGTGGAGATCTTAATATCTTTGCTTGCCCTTATGTGGGACATTCCAGTTGCAACCCTAATTAACCTGTCAGAGATGCATAAGCCTGTAAAATGTTTATGTTGGAAGAGATCTGAGGTGCTTAGGGGTGCTTAAATCCCAGTGCAGTTTGTATTTCTAGTGCACATCAGCATTTCAGATGATACGATGCCAGGATTTCTCTACTCTTGGCTCCCTGATAATAGTTTTGCAACTACTGTTTCAGGTATATTGTCATCTAAGAGATACCCTTTGTCCTCATGGTTGTGCTTCCATGATCTTTATGTTTTGAGTGTGGCGTTTTTTTAACTCAGATCTTTATTTTCTTTGCATAGTACGAAAACTTGGATTCACTTTTGACATTACATATTCCTTTTCATTTTTGACATTACATATTCCTTTTCTTTTGTGTCTATGTATCCAACAAACAAATCATCTGCTCTGATAAAAGGGATTGTGTCTCCTCCACAGACCCTGCTTGTCTGCTATTGATCAGTTTCAGAACACTGTTGTCAGAACTTGTTCTTAACAAATTCCACAACCTTTGCTCAAAATGTTATCCATGCGGTAATCACACCTTCTCTTGACTACTGCAGGTCTTTCTTTTATGGTCATCCTAAATCTCTTCCTTCTAAACTTCAGGACGGCTGACTAGTTTCTTACTCCAGGGAGCAGTCATATCACCTTCCTCTTCCATCATTTTCATGATTTACTTTCTATTGCTCAACCCAAGTCAAAATTGCCCTTTGGATTTCAGAAAGGTTCGTGGTCTTATTACAGCTGATCACTGCAGCCTGGTCTTTGCTCATTTTACTGTGCCACCCTTATACCCCCCTTCTTTATCTCTACTTCATGTATTTCTATCAGAAGGACTTTATTGCCATATGTTTGGATCCTTTCTATTCATCTCTCAGCTCTGTGTAAAAAAATTGTTTATTTTATAGCTGACCTTGGCAATAAAGTTTCCCATAGTAAATTGTATGAAGATGCTATAAAAGTACAAATTGAATTGTATACAATTATTGTTGAGTGCTAAGAAAAGGATATCATCGTGACTAATTGCTGAAAAGATATTTATTTCCTATTTAATTATGCAATATATGCTCTCAGTGATATACACTTTTGACATAATACTGCTTGTGAGCAAAATGTAGGAGTTTTAAGGTATTCTTCAGATTAAGATGAATCTTATTCCTCCTGGGGAGGTTTGCCTAAATGCCATTAATTTCAAATCCAGATTGGCTTTATTTCCACTGTAATTAGCTTTTGAATGAAGCTAGCTTAAATATTCTGCAGCTGTTTCTTTTCTGGGGGAGAAGAATGATAAAAGTATCTTTTTGCAAAATGAAACAGAAACAAATCTGTGACAGATCCTCATCTCTTCTTTTTTTTTCTTTTTAAATAATATCCTCTTATTGCATTTGTCTGTCTGCCCTCCCACACTATCCTGAATCACAAGTCTGTATGTGATGAAAGAGCAATAATATTTGCTTTTCAGGGTTGAATGATCAAGTCACCTCTGGTGGCTGAATGCTATTACACAAGTGATAGTGCAGTGACATTTCCAAAGTGTGAGTGATCATGTTTTTCTTTTATGGCTATGGGCTACAAAGAATATAAATTCTGGTAGTACTGCATGGGTGTGACTTCAGAGGAGTTATAGGTTATACAGCTCTAACAGAATAAACAAAGGTTTTGAAGACTATTTAGTAAGCAGACATTATGAATTATTAAGTAATACACATTCTGTTTTATATTATGGTTTTCTAAGCAGAACTGGAAACACATAAATATGTCAATAATGCTTCTGCACAACAGTGTTCATAATTGCCCGTTAATTATTACTACATTTTATCTATTATGTTTTAAACTTTCCTTTTATGTTTTTAATGCATAAATATGGTTATGCAGTACTGATCATTATATTTTATAGTACAATAGATTTCTCAGTCAAGATTGAGCCTCTGCCGTGTTGGGGATTATACAAACACTTAAGAAGACATGCACTTGGCACAAAAAGCTGAAAGATAATGGCCATATTATTGACTGGACTGCAGTGTTCTAAAGCTTAGAATGTTTTCCACAGGCTGATATTTATATCATAAGGCATAAAGCTATTTCCTGACTTTTTGCACTGTGAACACAGATCCTGGCTGGAACCCACAGCCCAGCTGGTCTCTGAGCTCACAGAGCGCTAATCAACTCCTGAAGGAGGAACAAGGTTCAGATGTCTGAATCCAAACTAATCAAAACAACTGTTTTCTGAGAAAATTATTAGCTGCCTATGAAGCAAATATTTCCCTGTCTGTCTGGAGGCCTTTTTGCCATCGGTCTTTTTTTCATTATTTTTTGGCATCGTGCTGTGATCCTGTTAGATTTCAGAAGAGGGGCTGAACTATGCAAGGCATTAGTTGAGACTTACACAGAAAAGCTATGTGTGTCAGATAGACATTGTGGCACTTTTTCTGAGTCATTATAATGCGGTACTAGCGGTGCTTCCTCCTGGCTCGATGTGAAACTAACCTGTTCAGATAAATAAGTCTTCTTTCTAAATGTAGTTAGTCTAGCAGTATTTTAGAAGCAGTTTTTTTTTTTTTTGCTTCCAAAGAAAAACAACAGGTTAATTAATTCTTACTGCTTGTGCAAGAAAACGTGCACAGTGACTTCAGATCTTAGATTAATGTTACGTGTCACAAACAAAACATCTCTATGGAAAGGTTAATCCAATTGAATCCAAGAGATAGGCTGCTTGCTAAATAAATAAGTTGATTTATGTCAAGAAATCAGAATTAATTAGAACATGCTGGAGAACAGAAGGACTTGCTTCTCGGCAAATAAAATCCTAAATTATTTAAAATAGACATGTTGCTTTTTTCACCAGAATTTGTATAATGTATTCAAGTTAAATTGTTGACTAATTCAGATCGAAAGCTTTGCTTTTATCCAGAGTACCTAACATACTAGAATCTGCTTAAATGCCAAGTAAACAATTGAAAGTAATGAATATGATTGAATTGAGTCACCATTCCCTTAATGAGTGTTTAAAGAGGTGTACTTAGATGTCTGTATGGATTCTTTTAAAGTAAAAGGAAGTCAAATTTGTTTAAGAAGTACATACTTCAGCATCATCACAATGTAATCTATTACTTTGACATAATGCTGCTTACGTTGCCGCAGATAAGAATAAATTTATAATTGGCATCTACATCCTGAAACGGACCCCAGTTTTAGCAGCAATACCACTAGCATCAGCATGACTAAAAATATTATCAGTATAATGTTAATATTACTGCGAATAATACTAAGAATAATAGCCAGAAATAATTACCCAACCTACATTCCTTAGTTGAAATTCTTATTGAAGCCAGTAGGAATTTTACCAAAACAAGGGTGGGATAGGAACATGATGATTGGACATTCATCTGTTTATTTAATGAAATGATAATTACATATTGACAGATTTTTTTTTTTTTTTTTCAGAAAAATTGAAGTGGTAGTATGTTTTACAAATTGAGTACGTCCAGCTCTGTGAAGATCAGTGGTGAGAAATTAAAGTAGAAATAAGCCAACTTCAAGTCATGCCCGTCTGAATTTTCCATAAATTGAGATTCAATACTTTGTTTCAGCCTTCATGAGGGTCTAGCTATCTTCAAACTTTGGATTTGAGCTTGGGTTTGAATTTATTATGTTTCTGGTGGGCTACTGTACCACCCTACTCATAGGCTTATCTCTACACTAAACTAACATATAAACCTTTTGTACATTAACAACTGTGTGGCTCTGTTCTGTCTCTTTGATAGATGCACACAAAATCAGCAAGATCCAAGACATTTGTGCATAATCAAAGAAGAATGAACAGACACAACTCTCCCATGTGAAGTATCCTCTAAGTTACCCACATCATCCTGAGTTATTGTTTCAATGACAAATTATAATACCATTTTAGATTAAGCTTGATGCCAAACTCAGGTTACATTTCTCATGGGTTGATAAGAATTAAACTGCATCCTCTTGATTTAAAGCTAAATAAATAAAAGATTGTTTAAAAATTCAGTGTCCTATCACAATATTTTTAAGCTGACAAAAAAGTTACCTGGTAAGTGATATGAACAACAGGCGGTTCTTGTGAATACGGATAGGCTAAAGATATCCTCCTCCCATTTTTAGCGAAGTCCGTTATTTCAGAAAGACTCAGTTGTAACTCATTGAAGCTGCCACAAAGTCTCTCTAAATTTCTAGATATTTGACTCATTCCTCTTTCATTTGGCAAATTGTTGTTTTTAGGAGAACTTGATGTTTCTTGGATCACACTGAACTGCACTTTAGGGGAAGCTGGTCTGCTGGAAAGCCTGGTAGGTGTTCCAAACCCAAGAAGAGACACTGAACGATTGGTGGGTTCAGCATCCAGTGTTTCCAAGGCCACCAAGGGGTCACTTGGGAGCCTTTTTTCATCCAGGTCACTCACACTTGATAAAGAGCTCTGCTCATAACTAGGGCTCTTTACTTCTTCGATGAGTCTTCTCCTACCACTAGGAGATTGAATAACTGTGCTTCTTGGTATTAACAGCTCCCTGCTTTGAGGTTGGTCTTCTGTAGCAAGATTTTCAAAGAACTTTCTTTTTCCAGGTATATTAACAGAGGATTCAAAGTTATAAAACATATTCTGCTTCGTCTCAGGCAATGCTGAAGAATTTTCTTCCAGCATCAATTCTTTGATCATCAGACGCATTACATACCTGTCTGAACTTGAAAATGGAATGAGACTAGGCTCAGGGAACTTTTGCTTGCCAATCAGAATCAATAGGAGTTTATCTGTCAAAAAGCATAGGCCCTTTGGTCTTTCATTTTTTTCCAGCTGGATTTGTTGAATATGAGGCATGCAGGAAGAGGTTACTGAATACACCAAAACAATGTTAGAAGTATTGGAGGCTACTGCCACAATCTGAGCTCTAAGATCAAAAGCCATTATATCAGGAACCAGAATACCTGGGATGGTGACTTTTCTGGTGGTGGTTACCTTCCTCTCAAAAGTCACCAAGATCAAGTGAGAAGAATCTTGACCATTTGTTGGTGCAGAGTCTTTGCGTTTCATAGTAATAAGAGGACTGGGATCAGACCGATGGTGGTTTGCAAGGGTATGGGTTAAATCCACAGGACCTGATGAAGAAGAAGCAAGTGAATCAACACCTGATCTATCTGAGTCTGTGGACTTTCTTCGCAGGTCCATGGAGTATTCCTCATCACCAAGCACCAGAGCAGACTGTGAGGTTAAAGAACCAGTTTCTATACCAGATGGCATATCAAATGCAATGCCCGCATTCAAACCACAGATATTGTCTAAAGGAAGCTCAGTAGCTACAGCAATTTGGAAATCCAGTGTGGCTTCTATAGCACAGATATAACCTCCCACATCAAAGACTGGGCAAAAGGAGCAGGCATTTAGAGTTTTCTGAGCATCATCCCATATGTAGGAATGCAGGGCACTGCCTATAGCAATTACTAAGCGATTACCATCCTTAGTCCAGCAAGCACAGTGGATAAGCCCACTGCTTTTGATATCTGCCCTAACTCTAGTATTGTCCGTACGAACAGCATGCAAGACTGAAGCATCTCTTTTTGTAAGCACAGCCAAGACCTCCTTCTTTGGATGCCAGACACAGCCCTGGGAAAGCAGTGGAAACGGCTCACCAATTTCACAAGTCTGAGAAATCAAGGGTTTGTTCTTCTCTGCAGTGCTGTAGCACAGCTGCCAAACGCTAACATGCTTTTTATGCTGAACAGCGAGCAGAGCTGGGGTGTCTGTAGAGCAACATGGGCCCCAGTAAAGCCCATGAACATGTTCAAATTGACCAACAACGCTCGAGTCTCCAAACTTTAGCTCTCCGTTATGGTAGTATAAAGCAGTCAGTATCACTTGCTTCCCATCTGTCCAGGCAATTCCATGCATGGGGTGGATGGCCTGATACAAAGCGTTGAGGCCAGTTCTCAGCAGTTTTGCCTTTCCCAGCTCCATCTTTTAAAGCTTTCTGTCTACTGGTGGCTGTTCCAAAGTAGAGAATCCATGGAATTCACCTGCAGATCACAATGAGGAAAATTTTTTCTTGTATCTCCTTCCCTTCCTTTCCAGAATCAAGCTGTTTTTTCTGCTAATAATCCAAGAGCCCATATTGTGAACTCCTTCCCAGTAAGCCTGCAGCTGCTCTTCTAAGTATAAATCCATGTCAAAGCTGCTTTTGCTACGTCTTTTCCTGGGAGGAGTTATCATCTTCATGTGATGGCTAACAAGGTTTAACCAATTACTGTACGTTTTCATAGAAGTCTATTTTTAACTCTTCACTGCTGAGAGTATATTTAAAAATAACACTCTAGTATCTCGACCTTCAGTGAATGAAGGTCTTTGGTGAAGGCTGGAGAGACATACACTGTTAAGCCTAAGTATTAAGCTACAGCCTTGAATAATGACCTGACACTTCTTTCAGCCAGCCTTTGAAAGATAAAAGAAGATTTAAACGTACCTGAGAACTGTACAAGGCAGATTGCAATCTGTGATGGACAGCATCTTTCAAAGATAGAAGATCCTAAATGGCTATGAAAGGAAAGCAGAAAAGGGAAATCATGCTCTGTTCTGTTAGTAGTTACAAGAGAATGAAGGAAGGTAAGATTTTAAAAAAAAAGGCAAAATAGTCTAGAAGCAAAGACAGCTGATTAGTGTTCATTTTACTGGGACAAATTTCCTAGCTACAAATATATATTGATTTCTTTCTTGGTCTTCCCAGCCACCTGTATCTGAGGACTGTTCCCTTATCATATAGCCAAAATGCAAAGAGGAAGCCAAAATTTTCTTGTTTCCCTAAACTCTGCAGTTTCTACAGTAGGTAACATAACATCATGCAAAGATCCTTGAGTTGACAAAGACCCAACTGTCCTGGTTTTGGCTGGGATAGAGTTAATTTCCTTCCTAGTAGCTGGTGCAGTGCTGTGTTTTGGATTTAGGACGAGAACAAAGTTGATAACACACCAATGTTTCAGTTGTTGCTAGGTAATGCTTACACTAGCCAAGGACTTTTCAGCTTCCCATGCTCTACCGACTGAGAAGGCTGGAGGTGCACAAGAAGCTGGGAGGGGGCACAGCCAGGACAGCTGACCCCAACTGGCCAAAGGGACATTCCATACTATGTAACGTCATGCTCAGTACATAAACTGGGGGAAGCTGGCCAGGGGGGGCCGCTGCTCGGGGACTGGCTGGGCATCGGTCAGCGGGTGGTGAGCAATTGCACTGTAAATCACTTGCTTTGCGTATTATTATTATTATTATTATTATTATTTTTACATTATTATTGTTATTTTATTTCAATTATTAAACTGTGTTTATCTCAACCGACAAGTTTTTCTCACTTCTACTCTTCCAATTCTCTCCCCCATCCCACCGGAGGGGCGGGAGGAGTGAGCAAGTGGCTGTGTGGTACTCAGTTGCCGACTGAGGTTAAACCACAGCACCAACCAACAAACTCATCTAACACAGTGGGACCATGTGAGGATACGGCAATTTGTTTCATCTGTGTTGTTTCAGGACCAGAGCTGGTTCAGACGGACTACCTTGGATGTCTCCATCCTTCCCTCCTCAGCGCATCCTTTTCTGGGGTTAGCCTGGACAGAGCTTGCATCTTGCTGAACATAAATTGTGAGGGTGGGATTCATTACTTAAATGTAAGCAACCATTACTATTTTCAATGCCCTAGGATATCTGAGGCAGCCATGCTGGGCTGGCAGGTATGGCATAGGACTTACAGAAGAGTAGTGCCATTCTGGAGTGGCAGCTGGCAACAGAGATGATCCCTAGAGAGTCCCTAGACTGTCTAAGATGGCATTACAAGCTTATATACAGGTAACTGAATCCCATCCTTAGCATCTTTTTGTAGTTCTTGTTTTGCCAGCATCTTCCTTCTGCTTTGATGTAACTTGTGTCTCTTGCTGTTTATATATATTTTAAAAAGTGAATAAGTTAGACTTGGCCAGAGGTTTACATATTATCAATATAATCACTATGGTTAAAGATGTAAGACTTAACTATACACATTCTGCATCTTTGGCTGATTTATACTTTATATATTTTTATAGTACTACTGGGAAAAACAGACCTCTTGTTGAAGACAGCTGAACCTCTGCTGTAAGAATTTTTTTAGTATCCTTTTTCCAGGTGTATTTACTGAGGATGGTGAGTACCAATAAATTTATGTAAAGTAATCATACCAAATTCTCATTCACAGCTACTTGGGTTTTGTAGATTATTTCATGAAGATTATATTCAAAATCAAGACTTTTTTATATTCATCAAGGACAAGCCAGCAGTGATGACTGGAAAAGGTAAAAATTAAAAAGTTAAATATGCAGGTTAGAAGATCCTTTTTTATGCAAGACTCCTAAATTTTTGGTCCCTGTTTGTGCTTGCAGTGAAACCATGTTTTTTAATGATTTTACCTTACACGTTGCTGACACAGATGTCCAGGCCATGCTTAAGATGTCACACTGCCATACCTGTTTCACTAGGAACTCAGACTATTCTGCAATTCCTCATAGTGGCAGCAGGATTATTGTGTCATGTATTAATGGTAGCTTTTTACCCATAGTAGTTATAATGGATAGATTACATTCAAATACAATCCCAGCAGCTCCACAAATTTGCAGAGTCTGTATAAGATGTTTTTGTTTTGCTTTAAAACAACGCTGCTTCGCTGCTGTGCTGTCTTCTGGATGTATTTTACTGAAACTGATAAAGCTATTCTTTAGCACAGCCATCTCATCTACATTCTGAATGGTGCTTTAAATATCGTAACAAAACTATATTGCAGCTGGATTCTAGCAACCTCAAATGTGTTTTGGATGCAGAAACTTGTGCTTCAGTATGACTCAAATGCTCAGAAGATGTTTTGCTATGGATGATGTGTGTTCTGCCAGCTATGCAGACATCTTGAGATCGTGGACTACTCATGTGGAAGATTGGACTTTCTTTGCTGGTTTTTTTCATTTCATCATCTCTCATAGCACGCATCTGCTCTTCAACAGTGTCTGTGACATTATCAGAGGGCGATACAAGGCTGAATCTATGATATTTGCCAGTAACAGAATCATCCTCAATTTTGGAATTAAGGATGTCCCACAAACACCGAGGTCTTGAAAAATATTTGTAGCAGAGCCATGGTGAGGTTTTCATCTAGCTCTGAAAGCGTTAGTAAGTAGGACTTCATCTGATGTACTTATGTTTATTTCTTGTTAATTCTCCAAGATACTCAGATATAAAAATGACAACATCCACAAACTTTCACTGGCATGGTAGTGAGGTGATGAGGTACTGAGGCATGATATATTCACAGCTGATTTCTGCTTTGTCCAGTGTTAAGATCTTTTTTCCCCCAAAGCCTAGCACCTTCAGTTCACCAAGATTATTCACCTCCTGTATCCTATCACATAACATCTTTATGGTAGAATTTTTCTAGAAAGTCTGAAGCAAATCAATAAAGGTGCTTAGCAGATAAGGAGTTACACAATTTAAAGCAAAGGAGGCTCAGAGATCTCTGACTGCAAGGAATGTTTGTAAAACAACTTCAGTGAATGTAAGATGAGGCCCGCTAGAGACCAGACTCATGGAGAGAGACAAAACCTTTGACAAGTTTTCTGTGGCCTTTTTTTCCAATTCTCTAAGGCTCAGTGTTCCTTGAAATCTGTGGGGTTTGGACACACCACAAGGCCTATTCTGTAGCAATAGAGTTTGAACCTCAGGCTCCATTAGGGTAACACTCGAGGATCTCAAGGAAAATTTCCTCCCATGGTTCATTCTGTGGTTTTTCAGTGGGAGAGAATAATGTGGGCAAGAAACTTCTGTGTGAACAGAATCATCTAGTACCTCCATAAACACCACACATGAGGAAACTAATTTGAGGTAAGATTACCTTTCAGAGTGTACCTTTAAAAAATGATGTAAATAATGGAAGACTTGTAAAATATACAAAGGGAAAAAAACATAAGTTATGCCATGATTACAGAATTTAAACAAGTTATACTCAGGATCAAAGCAAATTCTGTAAGACGAATGAAAGAGACAATGAACTTCTGTTTGGCACAGCCTCATTTTTAAAAACAGGATAAAAATAGAGAGGGAGAAAAACAAGTTCCCCTCATTCAGCTAGCGTATTTTTTTCCAGAAACTGGTAAAACATTTAAATAATATTTCTGTGTCACCTTGGCATGCACAGATCTATATAGAACGCACTCAAAATAAAGGCCAGTAACTGAAAACTGTCCTGGCAATACTACAGCTTTCCTTTGAGACCCAGGAAAGCAATGCAAAGAGTAATCTGTTAGTAATCTGAGTGCGCAACCACAGTCTTTACATGGATACCGAGCTAGATTCTGATGCTATTAACATCACTGTGCCTCTGATTAACCTTGGTATAACTCAGATCAGAATGTCACCTGTGGTTTAAAGAAGGTGTTTCAGCTGGTGGCACCTTGGCGGCTCCGTCCTGCAGAGTGATCCCAGCCAGCCAGTCTCTGTTGCTTTGGAGGAGATGGTTGTTTGAAGTAGCGTACGAAGTCCAAAACTGAACACCACCCACCGAGCTGCACATAACTGTTAGTAGCCGTGAGTTCCCGTTGTTCATAGTGAACGTTGGAAAAATACTCCAGCCCTCATCGTTGCAGAGGTTGAGCTACACTTTTTTATAATACTGATTTTATATTGCTGTTTTCTCACATTGCTATATCTACTATTCACCTGTCTTAGGAAATGGTGAATAAATTTTGAGTTCAATATGGATCAGAGCTAATGAGTTCCAGGCTCTTTAAATATATTTACCTGGATATTTCTTGTCCAGTGGGAGCTCAGTATCTAAATATCTCTGTGGATCTGAGTTCAGTGCCTTGCTGGAAAAGCTGAGATTCAGACTTCATTTTCTCCTTTATTCATGGTAAAATAACTCTTTCTGGGCTAAATCTTGCTTTGAGTTAATTAAATTG